GGGATCAGGATTTACGGTTTGGTCTAAGCCCTTTCAGGGCTACGGGCTCGTTTTCTAAAGACAGGACGCGAAATGATTGCCGTTTAGCTACACGAGAAGAAGGTCCATGTTCACACCAATCATAGAATCGTTCCAGGTACCATGCAGCTCAGAGCTACCACAGAGGTTGCAATCGGTTATATGGGAGGTGCCAAGGTGCCGCACCCTAAACCCTAAACCCAGTGCCCTGTTCATTGTGGGGCACCCTTGTTCAAAATCGGATGGTAGGAAAGGGGCGCCTTAATCAGGAGATTTAGTGAACGGTTTAGGGTTTAGGGTTTAGGGTTTCGGGAATCCATCCGGATGGCACAATCTGAGCCGTGAACCTAAGCTTGAAAACAAGGAGCTGCATTCTTGGAACCCCGGCTTGGAGTTCTGAGAGGATGTAGGCTTTGGGGTCCATACAGAAATATTCAGGGCACGGTGCTGCATAGAGCTACGGGTAAGGTATGGCATTCGGGTGTCAGGTAAGTGGTTGCGTTAAGGAAGCGTGCCTCGGTTTTCTAATTGACCCCGAAACCGTAAACGGTGGAAGGAATCGAAGTTGTGTCACCTCCAGTCTTGTGCGACTGCTCGAAATCCTTGAACTTTGAACGTCAAGCCCTGCCATGTTCGCCATGAGATGCTACTCTGAAGGGTTTGAACGTCAAACACCGTCATGTTTGCCATGAGATCTGAGCTGAGTGGCAGCGAGCGTCTGCCCCTGCCTCTCGACTTCTACTGCTTCGCTGTGACGACCCAGGTCTCTCAGACACTGCGCCAAGCTGTTCCTCCAACAACCCAGAGACATCTCAGAATAATGCTGGGTTTAAGGGCTTTAGGGCTTTAGGGTTTAGGGGTTAGGGGTTTAGGGTTTTAGGGTCTAGGGTTTAGGGTCTAGGGTTGAGGGTACAAAACCCCAAAACTCTGGAAGAAAACGCCCATTTGTTGGAAGCACAGAAGCTTCACCGAAACCCTAAACCCTCAACCCTAAACCCTTCAAAGGCTGCGTATTGGAGAACGAAGGTTCTGGGTCATCTGCGTGTCCGGGTGAGCACTTCCCAGCGTCTGCTGGCGAGCAGCCAGCACTTCCTGGGCTCTTGTAAAGGAACCTGACTTAAGTTACCATAATACGGATAGAGATCTACGACAAGTAGGAAGGTTTCTCGATTCTGGCAACTTAACAGGAAATCTCCTCAAGAAGAACCTAGCGTCTCCGTGGATCTTCAATGCTTCGGTGTGGCGGCCGAGGGCACTCAGAGAAGTTGCGATGCTGCTTTGGGTCCGCAGAGAATCGGAATGTGCGGCTCCAAGCGTGCGCTGTTGAGCGGCGAGTACGTCAGAGAGCCTGGATTCTTGGGTTTAGGGTTTAGGGGTTTAGGGTTTAGGGTTTAGGGGTTTTGGGTTTAGGGTTTAGGCCTTAACAAGTTGAACAGGGTATGGGGGGGGGCATATTAATTACGACAGATTTACACAGGAACCGTAAAGGGGCACTGTTACGAAGTATTCAGACCTCCATTTTGCCTCACTTAAACTTGAGTTTCATTTATTTTTGTGGGGTTGCGTCACGGTTGCACCAGGTTCCGGCGGTTAACTTACCATGGTTGCTTTAACATTCAACAAGAGCAAATATATTCTGGCTATTCAAGCTACGACCTTAACACCTTATAGAACCTTTCTGAGACGGTTAACCGGTAAAACTACCAAGTTCCGCATCAAGAAACGTATAAGCAAGTTATAACAAAGCTCTTGGAAAGATCTTATGAGATCCTTACAAACACCCTTTACAACCCCAGCAAGTACTTTCTTCCCCAAGGTATGTCCTTGACAGGAGTCATATAAAGCCCTGCAAGCACAAAAGCTTGAATGATACTCTCTTTCCAAACGAACTTGTTGCGCGCAGGTCTAGACTCTAAACCCTAAATCCTGAACGCGAAATCCCCAAATCCTAACCCCATAACCCTAAACCCCTAAACCATAAACCCTAAACCCGTTGAAACCCCCCTAAACCCTTTGAAACCCTAAGCCGTTCAGCTAACCTCCTTTGCAAGGGCCCAGCAGCATCCTACTCAGCCCCTAAGACCTCCTTAAACCCTAAACCCCTAAACCCTAAACCCTAAACCCTAAACCCTAAACCCCTAAACCCTAAACCCCTAAGACCTAAACCTTTGCCCAGCGGCATCTCAAGAGCTTCCTTGTGGCGGCGCAGGTCAGCAAGGGACTTCGCAAGCCGACCCTGACCTCACCAGCTTTTGGGCTTCGGGGTCTAGGGGTTTAGGGGGTTTGGTGTTTAGGGTTTAGGGTTTAGGGTTTAGGGGTTTGGGGTTTGGGGTTTAGGGTTTAGGGGTTTAGGGGTTTAGGGTTTTCAAGGGTTTAGGGTTAAGGGTTTAGGGTTAAGGGTTTAGGGTTTAGGCTGGGGGTTTGCTGTTGCAGGACCAGGGGACTTCGTAATCAGGGATATGATATGGTCTTCGTCACAGGCTTTCGGGTTCAGGGTTGAAGGGTTCAGGGTATAGGGTTTAAGGGTTCAGGGTTTAGGTTTACAGGGTTTGGGTTTAATGGTGTGGGGTTTAGGGTTCAAAGGTTTAGGGTTTGGTTTAGGGTTTAAGGCTTTAGGGTTTGGGTTTAATGGTTTGGGGTTTTGGGTTCAAGGGTTTAGGGCTTGGTTTAGGGTTTAAGGCTTTAGGGTTTGGGTTTAATGGTTTGGGGTTTAGGGTTAAAGGGTTTAGGGCTTGGTTTAGGGTCTGAGGCTCTAGGGCTTTGATGTTGAAGGATCAAGGGACTATACGGAAGTATATAATATGGGTTTCACGGGGTTCGAAACGCGTGCAATTATTGGGTGACTTGACAAGTAAGTAAGGCTATAAGTACCCCAACTGGGGCTGCAACAGTTAGATTTGCAGTTACCTTTCTTTTCAGCCTGTAACTGGGGCCTTCAAGAGTTCGGAGTGCTTCAAGGTTTAAGCTTAAGGTTCAGGGTTTAAGGTTCAAGCTTAAGGTTCAGGGCTTTTTGGTTTAGGGCACATAGTTTCGGGTGTAGGGATAGACAACAGGTGCCCTTTGTTAGGGTTTAGATCTCGTGCATAGCCTAGCCGAACTACAAACTGCACTTGCAACGAGCGTTTACTAAGCTCATGGAACACCCCAAAAACGCATTAACCGCCCTGAACTTTGAAGCCTAAGCCCCCGAACTGCTAAACACTGAAACAAAAAGCCACAGAAACTTCAAAGCACTAAAGCCCCCGAACCCTAAACTGCTAAACACTGAAACAAAAACCCACAGAACCCTCAACCCTAAACCCTACTCCCCTCAAAGCGCTCAGGCCCGGACTGCGGAGAGCGTCGGGGTGAGTCACTCCAAGGGCCTGCTTCAGAGCAGCCAGGACCTCCTGGTGCATTTCTAGAGCGGCCTTGTGGCAAGGAGGTTCATGGGTAGTTCTAAGTCTCCTTTAAGGGATCTATAGGGGCTCTATAAGGGGTCCTATAAGGGTATAAGGGTAGTTATAAGTGGAGTTATAAGTCCCTTAATATAGGTTGCAACTATAGTTACCCTACTTCTAACCCTACTTATAACTACCCATGAACCTCCAAGTAGAGCGGCCTTGTGGCAACCGAGATGGCTGAGGGACGCCGCCAGGTTACTCTGAGTCAGGAGGGTTTTGGGATGAGCCGCTCCCAGCACCTGCTGATAAGCAGCAGCCACCTTCCGGTAGACATCTAGAGCTTCCGCATGGCGATGAAGACGGCAGAGAGAGCTGGCGAGGTTCTTCTGGGTCCGCAAGGTATCGAGGTGATCATCTCCCAGCACCAGCTGCTGAGCCGATAAAACCTCCCTCTGTGCATCGAAGGCCTCGGCATGACGGCCGAGGCGGCTTAAGAAAGTCGCCAGCATACTGTGGGTCAGCAGGGTGTCCGGATGAGCATCCCCCAGCACCTCCTGATGAGCGGACAACACCTCCCGCTGCACATCGAGGGCCTCGTCGTGACGACCGAAGCGGCTCAGAACAAGCGCAAGATAGCTTTGGGTAAGCAGTGTGTCGGGATGGGTCGCTTCTAGCACCTGCTGCTGATCAGCCAGCACCTCTCGTAGCATGTCCCAAGCTTCGGCATGACGACCGAGGTCACTCAAGGACCTTGCAAGATTGCGCCGAGTCTGCAGAACAACTTCACTGCGCCTGCCCAGCAATGAACTCCCCACGGCCGACATCAGACGGTACAAGAAGATGCGCGCCTCGTTAGCATCGCTGTACCGGCCCTCGTTCTCCAAGATCGTCGCTCGCAGCAGCAGGCAGGCCAAGGCCTTGAGCGACGCGATGACGATGAAGAAGTACTGCGTAGCGGAACCTCCGTAGATCAGCACAAAGAGTGACTGGAGGGCTGCCTGTGGCAGATCCTCCGTGATGGCCACAGCCAGCTTCGCTGGCGAGGACAGCTTTGCCAGGAGCGTGTGGTCGTGGCGTCGGTAGCATGCTGCACGAACAGGGAGCAGACCGGCTGCCAACTCTTCCGAGTGATGCCTCCACAGATACCTGCCGGAGAGGCACAGGATGCCAAGGCCAACCAGAGCCACTGCAAAGGCTAGCCAGGTCCTCCGGCGCTGCACTGGAAGCTGCTGGCTGATGTATTATTCAAAGGACATAAGAAGAGCAAGGCTTCAAGCTGGGTCTATTATTTTCGGAGCTGACGCTCGTGCCATCCCCTTCGTCAGACTCGTGTCACCTTCGGCTAAACGGCGAAGTCTGAAACAGCGCTGAACCTCTAAACCTGAAATCACAAAGTTTTAGCTTCCCTTTTCCCAAACATCCTCTGCGGCAAAGCCAGGCCAACGAAAAGCCAATCTTTGAAGGTGTCCAGGGGCTCGCCTAGAACTGGCACGACGGGCGTCACGATCGCCAGGCCGAAATCGGGAATCCGAGAGTCAGCTTCGGCAGGCAGGAAGATAGTAAAGTAGACACCTTGCAAGGCAGTGCTTGCAAGCATCATCGTCGCCCAAGCGAGCCACAATTCCCAGCAGAGGCCATACCGCATGTCTAGATGCCCAGTCGCCACTGCCCACAGCGAGAACACGGCGCACAGAACATGGAAAGCGATCACATAGCACATCACAGGCGATGGTGGTGGCTGTTGCTCCTCCTCTTCTTCGGTCACCACTGCTTGGTAGAAGACCCGCGAAGAGCTGCGGCTCTGCATACCATCCTCGAGCCGTTCAAGGCCCGTTAAGGTTGCTCGGCCGAGTCTTGTGAGCAACACGCCGAAGGTGAAGGCAAGGAACGTCAAAAAGAAGAGCATGGACACATAGTACTGTCTCCGCTGCTGCTGCTCTTGCTGGCTCAAGTCTGCCCCACAACCGGCCGGGAGACTCTCGCGCGGCCGGGCCACCCAACGTAGGTGACACCGCGTGACTTGTTGCCAACTATGTGGGAGTGACAGCCGCAGAGTTACACCCAGGCGGGACGCTGCTGGCCCAGAGGTCAGCACACCCACCGGCACTGCCACAACAAGTGGAACTAACCCGGCCAAGCACCGACAATCCCATCTATGCTCGAGCTGATGCGCCGGAATGAATAAAGAGCTCGCAAGCCAGAACGATGCTGCCAGGCACGCGTAGGCGGCCAGGCCCAACAAAATCCCCAGAAGCTGCTTCGTCGACAAGACTTCCCTCCATCGACCCGGGCAGCGGAGCCCTTCAAACAAGTTCGGGATCGCCTGCGAGGGGTTCGTGGCGCCCAGAGCATCGCTGTCCCCGAGCTCTCTGCCGGACGGTCTCGAACCGGGGATCTGAATCTGAGTCCTGAAGCTCGCCAAAAGGACGCCAAGCCCAAGGCAGGGAAGGATCGCGAAGGCAGACCGCATCATCATCGTAGCTGAGACTTGCGGAAGATGATCCGACTGAGGGCTTGAACCTGACTGGCAAAACGCCCAAACTGTCTCTACCTGCTGACGAAACTCCATTGTCTGACATGTTGTAGTGTTGCTGTTGCTGTTCTTCCCACCAAGAAACCCGACGTGTGCACTCATAAATGAGCAAAAAAAGACTCCCCATGAGGAACACCATAACAACTTGTTCCGACTCAAATATTTTAACTCCATATCCAGCAGTGTTCCGAAAGACAGAGCAAAGCCGAAGACGAGAACCGTTGCAGATTATGTAGGGTCTAGGAAACCCTAAACCCTGAACATCGGAACACGAAACTCCTCGAAGACTGCAGCTTGGTGTTAACGTAGAGGCCTCAAACGAGCTGTAGTAGTGTGACATGGTATTCCCTATATAACTTCTCTTCCTCAATAACCGGGCCCAAAAAAGTTCAATCTTTCTGAGACGGACTCAAAAAATGAGCCCAAAAAGTTTCAAGTTCGCTCTTTGGCGATCTAAGTAACTCTACTAAACAAAGCCTAGAACCCCCTCAAATCATTGGGGCCCCTACACGTTTACATGTTGGGTGGCGTGGCGCAAAGACGTTAGGTGGCGAGGATGCGGCATTGAAGAGTGAAGGAATCACTATTCTTCAGATTGCAACTGTAGAAGGATCCTTCGCATTGTTTGATGTATATTGCTTAAGTAAGGTCGTATCGTAGTCTTTGGGAATATCGGGACATTAAACGTCCCAAGTTCTCTAGGCTTTGCTGGGTTCGGCCTTTTCTGGAAAGCTTCAGGACTTCGGTGTGGGATTTAGGGCTTAGGGTTCAGGGTTTAGGGTTTAGGGTTTAGGGTTTAGGGGTTTAGGGGTTTAGGGGGTGAGTCTCAGGTTCACGGTGTTGCATGATGTATAGGGGCTTTCTGCAAGGTTTTCTGCGCATCCTGTCATGACTCCCAAACCCAAAACCTCCAATCCCCTACAGGCTTCTAGTAAAACTTCCGGGAGTCCTGTGATGATTCCTAAACCCAAAACCCCAACACCCCTAAAGCTTTCTAGAAAAATCCCAGAAGGAGTTTGCAAGAGGTTCAGGGTCTTGGGCTGCAGGGCTTTCGCCCTTCAGTTCTAGCGTAAGCTCAGTGTTTGCTCAGGGCTGGGGGTGCAGGGCCTGTGATTCGCAAACCAATCGATCGGCGTGGCCCTTTTTCGACGCTAGTTCCCGCGCAGGGCGCGTAAAGAGTCTGGAACGGGCCTGGCATGCAGGGACGGCAAGGATCCAGAAGCCATGGTAAAGTTACAAGGCGCTTGCGACCCTACGCGCACGCGAAACTCGTACCCCGACAGGACTGAGAACAGGATTAAAAAAATGCGATGAATTATCGAAGCCCCCGTGGTGTTGGTGCCTCGACTTTGTTTCGCGCTTCCTGGCAAATCTAACCACAAAGCACGTCGCGATTAGGAAGCTGCATGAACCTTAAACCCTCCAAATAGTAAACCTGAGCAGATGCACCTGCTCTTAGTAGCCCCCCAAGGGCCCAGCTACGCAGCCCTAAACCCTAAACCCCTACACCCCTAAACCCTAAAAGGACAACCTGACACCCAGGTCTAATCGTTACCTCTAAGACCCTAAGGTCCTGAACCCCAAACCCTGAACCCTGAGGTCAGAACACTGCAAACGAAGCCCCATAAAAATTAGCAAGCACTGCGACCGTAAAGCTCCAAACCGTGAACCTGAAGAGAGTCTGGGGTTTAGGGTTTAGGGNNAGGATTTAGGGTTGAGGGTTTGGGCAAAACCCTGAACCCCGAATCTTCAAGCCAGACACTCCCATACCCCGAAATCCCTGAAGCGCTGAACGGAGCCCGAAGAACAAAACTGGGTGGGGGGGGGGGGGGGGTG